AGGCAGTGGCAAACCACCTATGAACATCTCTGGCCTTGAAAACCCTATGGGGGTGGCCATAAGTCTGCTGTGACGTCAGCAAAAAAAGAAAAGAAGTATCAGTATAGAATCATGTCACTCTGTCCTTGAGGCTGCATGAAAAAGGTGCTGTTACTCATGCCTATTGAACTGAATATACCACCTTTAGTTAGACAGCGATGAAAGCTTCGTGACTAGACTAAAACCTGTGATGTGGAAGACAAAGCTGAAAGGAGTGCAGCTCTCCCCGTGAAGCCTATTTTAGTTCCCTCTTGGTTGCCAGGCAGTGGTCTAAATACTGAAAAATCTCGTGTGTGTGTCAGAATGGGATCCTAGGTGGGCTTGAGTAGGCCAAACTGGCATTTACGTTTTCCTGAAGGGTCATTGTGTGAATGCGTTACAGCAAAAACAGAAAAGGAGGTTGTGGCGCTTTAAAGATTAACCATTTATTGTGGCATGCACTTTCATGAATCAGGTGCATGGTGTGGTCTCGATTGCCTACACGCGCACACACACACGGTCATAGAGAAGGATACACTGTAAACAATGGAATCAGAAGACTTATGGAAGAGCCTATGACATTTCTTTGTAAAGCTCAGTCTGATTACCGCTGCTGCAAACAATCACTCCTGCTTACCTTGAAAACATCTGAGCTTTGTGTAAGAATGTAACACTTTGGCACTTCTTCACTTCCCACACCACTATATAGAATTTTTCCTCTATGCCTATGCATATATCTTTTCTAACTAAGGGCACACTTCATACACCTGATGAAATGGATTTTCACTAAAGTTTATGGCACACTAAGTTTTTTAACGGTAAGCCTCCCTTTTATGTTTTGTTCTTAGACTGAAAATAGTTCTGGCCTTAAGTTATATAGATACCATTGCGTTATTGTTTGAGAACTACCTAGTTTTTACAAAATTTACATCCCACTTATCCAACAGTATGTCTGGGCCCAAGAGCTTCCCCTCCAACTGTGGACCTGTTCCTTCAAGGGGAGTGAAGCCCAATCAAGAACAGGTGACCCCTTAAAGCTTGGGTCAAACTTTCTGTTTACCAGTAGCACCTCCAGTCTTGTCTAAACCGCCTCCAGCAAGGTGAAGCGCGAAAAATGCCTCCTCAGAGTGTCAGAGGTGGATTTTTGGGGGTTTCGGGTCGACGCGACGGGCCTGCACCCCGCGAAAGACAAAGTCAAGGCCATAGCGCATGTTTAAAATTGGTTTCCCCTGGATGTAAAGTTGCCAGCTCCGGGTTGGAAAATACCTGGGGATTTTGGGGGTGGAGCCTGATGAGGGCGGGGTTTGGGGAGGGGAATGACTTCAGTGGGGTGTAATGCCATAGAGTCCACCTTCCAAACCAGCCATTTTCTCCAGGCGAACTGATCTGTGTCACCTGGAGATCACTTGAAGAAGTGATACCAGGAACCCTATTGATGACAGTAAGAAGTGGGATTCTGTTCCCAATTGCTCCACTTGCATCTCTGCCTGGATAGTGGTTCTGCAGCTGCACAATAAACCTACTCTTCTGCATTCACTCCTGTCAGCTGCTCTATATCTTGCTGCTGAGATGGATTCTAATGGCCCATTGGGTGACTTGTAGCCATTAAGGGCTCCTGCTGCAATGGGAGAGGCTGGTTGCATTCCTAGGTCTTGCAGAGCCTGTTGGTCTTCTAGCCCCTGTTCATTCTTTAACCACTGCGGCACCACCTTTGTTTACACTTCTTCTTTAAACAAGCATATGTGGAATGATAAAAGTACCTCTGAGCATGTTCAGAAAACATTTTATTTTCCTCATCCTTACACACTTAAGATTGAAGAGCAGTCCTTTCTTCCCGGGCAGATGGCAAGCCTGAACTCTGGCAACTTTCCTTTTAGGAATTAAGCACTGAGCACACTTTCCATGACAACGCTCTAAGAACACAGACCAATCTGTTTTTTAAAAAACTTTGGAAATTTACAACTTATGGTTGTCGTACTCCCACACAAGTGATAAACCTTCTGCCAGTATTCTGCACCTGAATGTAACCAGTCACTTCCCCCCACTTCTGCCATGCCTTTCTTTAATGTTTTTCTTCAAGCAAGGAAAGCAAAGATGTAAAATGGACCCCCTCAACGTGTATGTTTTATATGTTTGTTTTGCTTGATATGAAAATAAAAAAATTTACTAAAAAAAGAAAAGATATCAATCAATCAATCAGTTTATTACGGTCAAAGGAACTCTTGCAGTCTACTTTGGTTTTTTTTAGTGAAATATGACAACCAGCATTACAGGTCAAGTATAACAAAGAAGGAACAATCACTATCAGAACCCTGCCTAACCTAACAAACAGAAAGTTGCTTAAATGTTACCAGCCTGCCCAAACTACTTATTTATTCAAATATTTATATCCCACTTGGCCCTGTGACTCAAGGCAGCTTACAAATCATACTGAAAAGCATAATAGGGGTATGAAGAAAACCTGTTTTTCCCTGGCTCCATTGTAGTCTATGGAGACCATTATAGTCAATAGGCCCCATCTCTCCTTATACTAATTGTGTTTTGAGGTGGCCCTTAGCCTATGGGGTGGCGAGGAAAAACGTGCTCCCTCAGCCATTGGGCTGCCAGCTGCCGTTCAGGACTCCTGGCGTCCCATTGGCTAGGGGAGTGGGTAGGAGGGGCGAGGCTGGCCAGAGCCAAGCGAACTGGGGACGGGTCCGACCAGTGGCGCTGGCGGCACCCGGTTGGCAGGGAGAAAAGGGGATGGCCGTGCTGCGCTTCCCTGTGCCGCCGCGCCCTGGCTCAGGGACACCTTCAACACTTCTGCTTGGGGGGGGGCTCTGTCGGTGTTCCCGGTTCTGCCCCCGGCCTCGCTGCCCTGGCAGCGTGCCCCGAGGATGGGGGGAGGCCACACTGCGCTTCCCAGGGACGCCATAGCCTGGCCTGGGGACGCTGCAGGCAGTTCTTCGGAGAGGCTGTTCGGCCTCCCCCAGCCTTCCCTCCGTCGCCCTTGCTGGCCTGCCAGCACACCCCGGCCACAGGGGGCAGCGAGCCACTGGAAGGGGAGGCACTTTAAATCCCCTCCCCTTCCTTCTTGGTCATGGCTTCCTCGCTCTCCCCGCAGCCGTGGGGGGGCCGAGCACACCACTGGAGGGGGGAGGCGGTTGACACCCGTCCCCTTTCTTCTCAGACCTGGCTCTCTCCCCTTCCCTGTCTGCGCTGGCTTGCTCCCTGTGCGCCAGCCGACGGAGGGACCCTGTCCGTCTTCGCAGGAGGGGGACTCGCACCGCCATGGAGGGGACCGCGCCCATCCACCCATACTAGCGGCTGTTGCATTACTG